GATATATAATTTAGTGTTGTAAAGTATACCTTCATAACTTAATTATTTATATATTTATCGATGTTAACTTTCAAAATCATATAGTTTATTTTTTAAAATAACAAAAATCATCATTTTCTAACAATGATTAATCTATACTACTTTAAACAATTGAAAACATTTTTTAAGTTATATAGTTTATTTAAAAAACAAAAAAAAAAACTACATGTCTAATTATTTACTCCATAATATGAAGTTAAAACTTTTATTGTTGTTAAACTTTCTAAATTTCAGAAATGGTACAATATCTTTTAAGATGAGAGTAAAACAATATTTTACCAATCTCTACATATATTTATGACTTCAATAATGAAATAATAATCCAAAACAATATATATAGAGAAGAATATACAAATACATGTAAAGATTTAAAGCAAAATATTCGATGAAAAATTAATATATGATAAAATTATCATCTTTTAAAAATTGATATACACACCTCATATATTTATATATATCAATTTAGAAGTGAAAGCAAATTGTTTAAAAAAAATTGAAAACAAAATGTTTCTATAAAAATAAATGAAAACAAACACCCGCGCGGGTCAAGATCTTGTAGCTATTATATTAAAAGAGAAGTCATGACTCATTTCATGTGTGATATTTTAGTTTGCACCATCTTTAGAATTTTATAAAAATTTACATAACATTATAATATCTTTTCATATTTTTAATTTTTTGTTTGAAATACAAATAAATGGTTTTAAGAAAATTCTAACAAAATCTTTTAAAATCTTTTTCAAGATATAAATAAAACACATGTTTAAATTAAATAGATATATAATTTAGTGTTGTAAAGTATACCTTCATAACTTAATTATTTATATATTTATCGATGTTAACTTTCAAAATCATATANGATATATAATTTAGTGTTGTAAAGTATACCTTCATAACTTAATTATTTATATATTTATCGATGTTAACTTTCAAAATCATATAGTTTATTTTTTAAAATAACAAAAATCATCATTTTCTAACAATGATTAATCTATACTACTTTAAACAATTGAAAACATTTTTTAAGTTATATAGTTTATTTAAAAAACAAAAAAAAACTACATGTCTAATTATTTACTCCATAATATGAAGTTAAAACTTTTATTGTTGTTAAACTTTCTAAATTTCAGAAATGTTACAATATCTTTTAAGATGAGAGTAAAACAATATTTTACCAATCTCTACATATATTTACGACTTCAATAATGAAATTATAATCCAAAACAATATATATATATATATATAGAAGAATATACAAATACATGTAAAGATTTAAAGCAAAATATTCGATGAAAAATTAATATATGATAAAATTATCATCTTTTAAAAATTGATATACACACCTCATATATTTATATATATCAATTTAGAAGTGAAAACAAATTGTTTAAAAAAAAATTGAAAACAAAATGTTTCTATAAAAATAAATGAAAACAAACACCCGCGCGGGTCAAGATCTTGTATCTTATTAAAACAAAAGCATTATAACTTTTTTAGCTGGATTTTAAAGTTGGTCCTCATATTATTAATCTATAATCTAATAACAATATAATATTATTGTAAGTCTTAATCTAATCTTTACACAGTTAATTATATATATTTCGCTATTGTCTAATAAGATATTTATTATTTAGGAAGTTAGTGATGATTCAGTATCTTATAATTATTTGGAACATAATTATAATTTACCTTCTTATTCTTTACAAAAATCTTCAGTATATTCTTATTCTTTTTAAGCAGAAAATCTCGGTTACATTTAAAGCTCTTGATTTGGTATTAATTATAAAGCACAATTCGATAGATATATACAATCCTTTATGGAATTATCCCTTCTCCAAGTCAACCTACTTTGCCTAAAATCTCGCTTAGATACTAAATCTCTTGATTTGATATTAATTATAGACTATTAATTGGTTTTCTGAATTGTTGGAAATTATATTTGTTTTGATGTCGTACCTAAAATATGAGGCGTATATATAGTTCTTCTCATATTCATCATTCGACATTCACTATCACCTCCAATAAAAAATGACAAAACCAAACACTTTTGTATTCCTTAATGGTGTTAAACCTTACAGAGATAATTGACAAATTCGCATTAAAGTTCTTCATTGTTGGAAACAAAACGCCAGTTATGGAGGCGGCACATTAGAGTTGGTCATCGCTGACGAAAATGTAAGTTACGGAAGTTTGACTTTTTTTTTCTTAAATCAATTTCTAATCAATATCTTATTCAAATTTTCTTTGTTTTGTAGGGTGTAAAGATTGCAGCATTTTGTAAAAGAAATCAAACTTCTGTTACTTACAGGTTATGATTTGATCATGTTCGTTTTCTTTAGTTTTTTCCTTTGAACTAAACATTTATCTTCTTTTTTTGGACGAACTAAACATTTGTATTTTCTATAAATCTCAGGTAAATTCATCATCTTCAGATTTCATATTTATTTTCTAGATTAGATCTAATCATGATCATTTTAATGTCACATATTTATTTCATTGGAATAGCTATGAAAAAATAGTCGCTGCAAGAATCCAAACTATTTGATATCAACCTTTAAACACTGGATTGTATTGATAAGTTTTCTTGACTTCTATTTTCAATTTAATAGTAGACAACAAATAAACAAGAACCAATATTTATTTGTAAAATATTTATATTTTTATCTAATATATATTTTACATTTAAATATTTGTTATAGAACATGTCATTTAAAAAGTTGTTGCAAAATCAACTGACGAGATATCTTCTCTCATAATTTCATGTATTTAATATTTAATTTTATAGTGAAATCTGTCAACCAAAATTCTGGTACAATGCAGTCAAGAATTATTCTTCTTTACCTTTACCAACAAGATATTCCAAAAATAATTTTACCTTAAAAGTATAATATTTTTAAAAATTTATTAAAGAATATTTTATTTCAAACTTTCTCGTGAAAGCTATGTTGTTTAGAAAAATTTACCAATTTACTATATATAAAACATTAACAGCAGAGAAACGAAGTCACTGGATTTTTATAATGTTATTTTTCTGCTTTAGATTTAGTAAATTTATTTTATTTTAGAATGTTAAGACTTTATATATATACACATATTTTTTTTTGTTTTTTGATTCTGGTTTTGGTTTATGTACAGATGATCTATCATAATGATTCCTCTTTTGAAGCCACATATGATTTCATCATTCTTCATTTTCTTTTATTTTTTTATCTTTAACAGTTATCTTTTTTTGTTATTAATCTCAGGTTAATTCATTATCTTCACATTTCATATTGATTTTCTAGGTTAGATTTAGGACAATTGTCTTAATGTAAATCATTATCTTAGCAAATTTATATGATTTGATTACAAAAATATATCATAAACTTTCTAATTATATAGTGATGTTCCTAAGAATATTTTAAATTTATTTTGTTAATCAATAAAATAATTGTTAAATATTAAACCCACATTTTAAAAGTATAGAAATCTATATTAAATGAATACCTTTGTTGTTTGATAAACTACAAAGCAAAACAAACTTCCACAAATCATAAACATAATAGGTTATCTTATACAAAAACACATAATCCGTTAACTATCAATTTTTTTTATAGAATTAAAAAAATAATAATATCCGCACTTCGAAATCTTTTGATGTCAAGTAAAGTTTAGATGATTTGGAATACAATTTGTGAAATATATTTGTGATAAAAACATTAAACTTTTACTCACTAATTTAAACATGACAGGTTTAGGTGTATTAAATTTCCACTTGCGTGTCAAAATTTTTAATCAAAAAATGATTCAATTCGCAGCGGAGCGGGTCGACCCGCAAACTCAGCCATAATGTGTATTATGGTACCTATATGATGACACATAAATGATATATATACTAATATGAAAAACAAATAGCAATATATTTTTTAAAAATGTATCCGTGCGGGCGCGGGTCAAAATCTAATAGAAATTTA